GCAGCCCCCGGCTGAAGGCAGGGTGAGCCCCCCCCCCACGGACTGCCCCTGCCACACCCCGGCAGACAATGCAGCCCCCGGCTGAAGGCAGGGTGAGCCCCCCCCCCACGGACTGCCCCTGCCACACCCCGGCAGACAATGCAGCCCTCGGCAGGCGACAAACCCAAGACAGTTCTGGAAACCGCCATTCCTCACAAGACGGGCAGCTACAAGCAACTGGTCCTAAAGCAGCACAGAGCCAGACGCCCAGCAAACCTCCTGTAAACCATCTCATCTTGTTATCTTGTTACCAGGCATTTTCTCAGCGAGTCACCATGCTTGTCTAATTGCCGCCAGCCCCCCCCCCCCGGTTAAATGCACTTAAATTATACTGTGTTTTCATGCTGTGCAACCTCTCCTGAGGGTAATGGCTTTCAAACAATACACTAACAATGGGACACACACACACACACACACACAATTAATGTGGGGACACTCCATTCATTTCTACAGGCATAACCATAATCCCAGTTATGATGACCTTAACCCCTACCCAGCCCTAACCTTAACCATAAGTAACCAAATAAGACTTTTGGCATTTTTCGTTTCGGTGCAGAGTCACCAATTCATATAAAACTCAAAAAATATCCCTACAACTGCAAAATAGAGGTTTTTAGTCACATCGTGGGGGCCACATACATACATACACTCACACAGCAGGCTGCATGCCACATCAGGCTATTAAAAATGCAGCCACTCTCCGCCCCCCCCGCCCGTTATGGGGGAGACCTCCGGGATTCCCAAGATCGGCAGATCCAGAGGCTCTGAGAGAAGCAAGAATCTAACCTCAGGGGCCCGAGCTGGGTGACGCGCGGCGCTGCGAGTCACGCTGTGTGCAGGGCCGCTGGCATTCGGGGCAGGACAAACCTGAACGAGGAAGAGGCAGCGAAGAGCCCATTAGTGAAGACAGAACACACAATGCAGGCAACTGGATATGCGACCCGCTGTGCACTATTCAGCCTGTCAGCATGCCTGCGACTGAAAAAGCATGTAACTATGTCATAATAATACATGTATAACTATACAGTGCGGCAATGGACTGGCATCCCGTCCAGGGTGTAGCCCAGCCCTGTCCCATATGCTACCTGGCCCATAGCCCCACAGTCACCCTGACCAGGACAAACTGGTTAGATGAGATTTTAGTTATATTTAATTATATTTGAAAAAGGCTGCATTAGCTGAAATGGAAAACTCTAAAAAACTAAAAATCTGTAACGTCAATTGCAGAGAAAACATTTCCAACTCTTTTTTTCCTCAGCTGTGAAACTAGTCAGACCTTAAAAATCTGTGGTATCATCTGGAAAACGGTGATTACAGGTTATCAAGTTTATCAAAGGCATTTCACTGTTCAGTCCATAGAGGGTTTGCTGGAATAAACCAGCAAAGCTCCAGTCGATATCAATCAGCTCTCTGTCTCGTTAGAAGGCTTTAACAAGGCAAAATACAAGAAAACCCCAAATGTAAACCTGTGGGGTCACATGGAACGAGAGTGAGGACTCACATAGACACAGGCCCCGCCCCCATCTGCGGCCCCGCCCCCATCTGCGGCCCCGCCCCCATCTGTGGCCCCGCCCCCATCTGCGGCCCCGCCCAGCTGCAGGTTACAGGAGTGAAGGCCGTCTTTGTGAGCTGTAGGCGAACGGGCCAGCGTGAAGCCAGTCATCAGCACCACGTCCTGGGGGAGGCAGAGAGGAAAGGTCAGGATCAGGAGGGTCATCACACAGCACTCATAACCGCTGCAGCACTTCATACGTATACATTTAGCAGAGACTTTCATCTTTTCACATATCTTTTAACGTACATTTTGATTCTGACAGCAGGGTCAGCCAGTCCCTGAAGCAACTGGCGTTAAGGGCGTTGCTCAAGGGTACTGACTCAAGGATTTGAACCAGCAACATTCTGATAACATATACAAATGTACCTCTCTCCTCACTGTAGAATGCACAGCTAAGTACAGTTAAAGTCACATGACCACACAGGTGATTCCCACCCTTCTAAGGTGACCCTGTCTGCTTACTGGATTTGAGCAAACATCTTCCCAAATACAAAGTGTATTAACTTCTGTTACAAAACTGAATACTAATTACTATTAAGGCAACCAAAAAGAAAAGAAATTTACATTATGAACGTGAAAAGACATCAGAAAAGTAAGGCATGAATTCTTCTATAATTAACTTCAGTTCAATCGTAGAAGATAATGACAAAGGGAGATTGGGAGGAGTAAT